CATCTGACAAGTCATGGTTACCATTCTCATTTTTTTCTGGTTCATCTTCATCTGAGGAAGATGCCAGATAGGCATTAAAATCCATTTCAAGTATATCTTCTTTTGTGAATTTCCTCATGGTTGCTCTTTGTCGTCCAAGATCAGTTTCATCCCATGTTAATTTAACATTTGTTTGATGAAGAGCTGTTGTGCAAAACCTGAAAAAAAAAGAAATAAATAAAATATACATGCTAGGAAATAAATCTGTTAACCACAAATTTGAGCTGAAAGTTTTATGGAAAATGTACACAATTACAGAGTGTGTACTTACTCTGGTGCCGTATACATGCCCACAGGTGGTAGTTCTGTGGCTACAGAGTGGGGTTTCTGATCAAACTCCATATCATCAGGGATGTATCTCAAGTCAAGTAAATTTCCACTCAGTTCAAATTCTGTTCCATCGCATTCATCATACAGGACTTCTGCTGTCTCTGAATAAAAAATTATATCCTTATGGAAAATTGACATCAAATGTAAGTTTGAGCACCAACATTTGAATTACCTCTACAATGCAACAAGATAGAGTTTTTTATTATACATTAGACTTACTATGAAAACTCTGATTGGTTAAGAGCATGCAGTAAATGCCATGTGAAGTTGACATGATAACCTGATGTCTGCTGCAGATATTGGGTTATCATGTCCAGTTCAAAGTCTGCCTAGTTTTCATCTATGCTGTGTTATCAAACTTGCAAATTTGGAGAGAAGTGTCATCCCTTGCAAAATGTTAAAAAAAAATGTATAATAAAACAATGATTGAATTTGGTTTTTGCATGATAACATGAATTATCAAACTTTATGTCTGTGTTATTTACCTCAACCTTCAACTTTGGCAGACAACTTAGACCTCCACATTGATAATTCATGATGTCGTGTTCAACCTCATTCAATAATTCCTTATTATTACATGTACATGTACCTTTTGAATTGCATTCCACAACTGCATAGAAGTACCGAAGTCTGTTTAATTGATATTGTCGCAGTTTTTCTGTTGAAAATGCAGACCCCTGAGAAAAAAACACAGATAATAAAGAACTTGGAACATTTTTTTTATAAGCACAGCATGTTGTCCAATCAGTACCTTAATTATCCTTTAACTCCCAAGATCTGATTGTTAATTCCATCTTCTACAGAACTGCTTGCATATATGTTAACCAAAAAATACGAATAAAAGGTACCAAGGTATGAAATTTGTCTGCACAGTTAACATATACACAAGTGGTACTGTAGCTGCATACTTAAAACTTTAGCTGAATAGTCTTTCCCTTTGTTCAAGTTACATGTAACATCTTCAAAGTATTACCTCTCTGTTTTTGCTGTCTTCTGCTTCCTCATTGTCACTGATATCATCTTTAAGCTCCACTGGCCCTTCGCATTCCTCTTTCGCCATTTGTTCAAGTCCGTATTCTGAGGGATAAATCTACAAACAAACCAAATCATAAATAAATCAAAATTGTAAGCCAAGAAAAAAAAACGAAGAAGGATTTCCATGGAATATTTCATTTTCATTACCTTGATAGACTGAATAATACCTTCTCTGGGTTTGAAGGAGTTAAACAGGACTGAAAGAAAAAAAGACAGAAGACAGAATTTCAGAGACAGGTTTTCTTTTCTTCTAATTGTGCTATGCATGATACACATAGTTTGCCAGGGAAAAATTTAGACAGAAGTGATTGACAAAAATATAACAAGGTCATTTGGTATTATCAACTGAGTTGATAATGTAAATTGGCCACCGTTAAGAGTTTGGAAGCTAACGTTTGGAGCCTTAGCCCTTCATCAGAGCAAATATTTCAGTTGATAATTATAATAAATTACCCTGTTACACTCTCCCACCAATGCAGCACCACAGTTCCTTTAGAAACTATCCCCTTGATGACAAAAATATACTCTACCAAACAGGTCAGTTGCTGTCACTCTGTCCCAGTCAAGGTTGCACACTGCAAGGCGTCTTGTCGCATCTTCTGTAGTTTTGGTGGAAACACCCATTTCTCCCCAAGGATGCTCAACATCATCCTAAGATATGGATCAAGAATGGTTTTAAAAAAAGAACTTTGTCAAACAATTAATGTTTTTTGAAAAATGCATCGGCTAAGTCCAAACCTGTATTGCTTCAATTTCAGGAATGTCTTCATCCTCTTCATCTGATGATGATTCTATGTCTCCTTCTCCCCTGCTAATGTCAATTTCTTCATTATCAGAGCTCACACCTTCATCATCATCATCATCATTCGCGTCATCTTTGCATTTCTCTTTGCTTTTAATTTTTTTTACATTTAATATGCTTTTTTCAGCATTTTCCTCATTACTACTGTGGAATTTCTGAAGCTTCTCCTTAATCTTTTTTCTCTTCTGTTTAGGTTTTAGTTCTTCCTTTTCTCTCCTAAATGAATAAACAAACATGTAAACGAATCAGTCACTTGACAGTTTCTTCACGAAGAGCTGAAAACTAGTGCTCAAACTAGACTGTAGTAAAAGCCAGCCAGCATCTTAAAACAAGGTGATTTTACAATTTTATCTGTAAGAACTCTTGAGAATGTTACATTTGAAATTTTGTACAGTTATGAATCAACAGGCAAGTGGTGCCTCACACCTGGACAAGCTTTCCTATGGGATAAAGAAAAAAAATAACTTGATAGTACCTCTTCATTTTATTTTTATCCTTTGGCATCTTGACACCTTTCTTTTCAATTTCTTCGTCCAAGTCTTTTTCATCGTCTTCTGTAATGAAGAAAAGGAAGTGGTGTGGCTAACTCTACAAAAGGGTCACTCAAATAAACTCTTTATACCCTAACATCAATATGCATCTTCTCCACACTATTCTCTATACATTTCCTAAGGTGCTGATAGGGAGAATTTGTTTAGCAATCAAGAGCTTCTTTAGTCAGTGATCATTTCCTTTATTCTCATAACCATAATGTGTGATTCAGAGGTGATATTGTTAGGAGAAATTAATTGCTAGTCACTGTTTGGGGTCAAAGGGTTATGAGGCGGATATATTGTTAACCCTTTTTTTTATTCCAAGGAGAGACCAAAAGGAAATTTCTCCTTACAATATTAAAACATTCTCAAGAGGAAAGGTCATGGTAAGAAGAAAAAATATCAACTTGGGGATATTGTTTCATCTGAACATCAGTATGCATATTCTCCATACTGTTTGCTCTTTGTTACCTAAGGTGCTGATAAGGAGAAATTGTCAAACAATCAGGGACTTTTTTAGTTGGTGATCATTTTCTTTATTCTCATGACCATAATGCGTGATTCTGGGGTGATATTGTAAGAAGAAATTAGATGCTAGTCACTCTTGGGAGTCAAAGGGTTGAAGAGCTTAGAGCTTAGGTGGTAAACAGAAATTTATATTTAAGTTTCAAAAGAAACACAAGTTATGATATAATCAAAGTTTTGCTTGCATTGTTTGCTATACCTTTGTCTGATTCATCTGAGATTTCATAAAATTTGTGAAGATCTTCTTTTGATGTTTTCTTGACTTTTGAGCCACGTTTGTCAACAAAATCTACAGAAAAAAATATAGACATACATGTGACTGTTTGAAAAAATTAAAAAAAAAAATTACTTATCCCTTTACACACCAACATCAATATCCATATTCTCCATTCTCTTCTCTACACATTTCCTTTGGTACTGACAAGGAGAATTTGTTTAACAATCAAGTAAATGACATCAAATTAGTGGAACTTTAATTAAACAGATTTCTTACATTTTGTCGTGAAGCTCGTATCCGTGAACATTCCTTGAAATCGTCCATCGATCTTAAGCTTCTTCTCCTTCCGTGATATTTTCTGGAAATGATAACAAACGATCATGTTGATGTTGGAGAAGCTTCGATCGGAGTCTATCTGTTATCAACTGCAATGTTCTAAGGTTTGGCAATTTTGTGTTCCTTATGGGTAGATTTTTTCACAGAATCAACGACAATTCGAAAAGGAAAATGAAGATTTCATTAAGGATATGGGTAGCTAAGGAACTTAAATAAATTCAGGCCATCAAATAAAACAGCTGAATTCAAACCTTACTTTGAATCGCGGGTCCTGAGTCACACGTGCGAATCTTTGATCGGCTTCCATGTTCTAATTTCAGACAAATTCTTCACGCGATTAACAACTCATTGAGATAATCCACTACCTATATACCAAAATAACGAGGAATATCTTTTACAGAAGAATTTGAGAACCTGTAAAGGCAGTTAAAGGCGATCTTGTTCGGATAACCAAAATAAACTGCGACGGAAAACGAAAACGTCCAGGCATCCATTTGCTAGGTAACCACTCATATTGCGCAAGGAACTACAGAAATTACCTTACCCCACCGGGTAAAGATTCTGGACTAGGGGCTACTATGTCTTTCTGGCATTTGGAGGACGAGAGTCGGGGGGAGGGGGGGCACAGGACAGGTCAGTTTGTTACCATTAGTCTTGACTTTTTCTTTATTTGCTTCTTTTTCAAACACAGTTCCACAAGGACCCCACTTTTCTAAACTGTTACAATAGGTAATTGGTAAGAATGGTGCCAAAAAAAGCTGACATTGAGAAAAAAGTAAAAGAGAAACAATAAAAAAGTAAAAAGACAAAAACAGGGGGATGAAAATTTTTATATGATAAGCTGAATCCTACAGACATTTTAATGATCTGCCGCAGGGCAGATGCATAGATGTCACCATTAACAACACATTCTTTTTTATTGTAAAAACAAATATATTCCACATTGCTACAGGTCTCTCCAGTAACAAATCATAGACGTCTAAATGTGGTAAGAACATAACTGACACATCCAGCTGCACTTCATGTGCCACTTTTTTGCTCTCACCAAACTTAAACCTTTACATCCTAACATCAGTATACATATCCTCCATACTTTTCTCTACTCATTTTTAACTTGCTGACAAGGAGAACTTGTTTAACAATCAAGAGCCTCTTTAGTTGGTGATCATTTCTTTTATTCTCATGACCTTAATGTGTGACTCAGGGCTGATATTGTAAGGAGAAATTAGATGCTTGTCACTCTTTGGGGTGAAGAGTTAAATGTCATCTGTAATCTATGAGTAAACAGATGCACTGGAATATAATTTATCTTTTTGAAAGAGACAATGGACACCCTAGCCTCAATATACCCAACAAAACTCATTACAGGCCAAAAAAAATTAATATCAAAATATAAATGATGAAAAACTGAACCCTAAGAAATACAAATGCAATTTATTAATTTTTCTTAAAGAAAGTACTACTGGCCACAAAAACAGAACTTTTGAACAATGACCTCTAGGTTTTATTTGATATATTTATTTACGTCTACTAGTTTCGTGGTTGTGCTACTATCAAGGATGGAAAAGTCCATATCAGTTTCATTTTTTAAAACATCTGTGGGCAGCTATCTAAATTCTTTCAGAATCACCCACAAGTGACAAACTGATATATATACCTTTACTGAAATCATAATGTCAATATTTATAGACCAAAACTACTTGATATGAATTTCATCATTGACATTAAGTCATTTTTCCTTGTGAGGAAGTAATCTTTGGAACTTGTAAGAGCAATTTCCCTGATATATTCTCTCTTGTTTGCCACTTTTCTTTTTTTTTTACAAGGTTATACTGGTCATGCTGGGCCGAACCTCTCGAGGAACTTGTAGTTTGTTAAAATAAAAAAGTATCCTTGTAGAATGAGTGTGGACTCCTTTTCACACATGTACTTTGGTACAGCTGTTGTGTGCTGGACAAGCTATGTCATCTTGTTTGCATCAATCCTCTCCTTTGTAAGACACCATTGTATCCACTTTATGAACAGATGTTGAGAAGGACCTTAATCGCACTTCTTGTGAATTTGCAATGATCCTCGCTTGCGACTCTTCCCAAGTTTCAGGAATCTCTTGATCTCTGTTAGTGTAAGCCAGTAGGTCAAATGCACCTGAAAACAACAAAAAAAACAAGCACACAAACAATTGATTGCAGTTAAAAATTACCATAATTTTCACAAACAAAACAATGCACTGCCCTCAAACTAAAAACAAATTGAATAACACTTACATCGCTTCTCAAGAAAGGGAAGGAAGGTAACACTGGCTGTAATTTGTCTGATCACATCTCTCATTTCTCTTTGAATGTCTTTCTTGCTTTTTGATGCTGGAGGTTTACTGAAAAACATAAACTTAACATCAAAAGACATAATTTTCACACAAATGTAGTTGTCTATGTCAATTTTCAGGTGAGCTCTTCTGTTCGTAATGGCGATGGAGAGACAATATTGTATCTTGATAAAAACTTGAGGGTTGAAGGGGTTTAACTGCCTTAAGAAGTAGCCCCTCCTGGAGATAAAAAATCAATAAAAACAGACCAAAAGTTGTGAGACAGTACCGTGAAGCCTGAGCCCTAGATGACAGCTATGTAAATGAGGAAACACATCAGACTGATAAAACATCCAAAACTTCCATACTGCGTTGACTGTACAGCCTGTCACCCACTTATGCTCAAACCTTATCCTTTAACTATTACCAAGCTTCATAAGCCTGCTATTTAGTTGTTTTTCCTAATCAAGAGTCTGGAATAAGTAAATGAATCCTATCATCACAGAAATCATATGTATTTAATCTTTATGAATCTTTACGAAAGAGGTATGGTTTTTCAGTATGTATCAGTATAATTATGCAAGTGAGGTAGTTACAGAAAGAATTTTGAAACATTCCAGCATGGTAGTCACAAACCCTGCTCCTTTCTTGTTTTCTGTTTGCTCATTCTTTTCACACTGAATATCAAACTGCCATCTCTCTATGACTTCATCAGTGTCTACTTCGCTTATCACCATGACAACCCGCTGGAGGGTATTGTCCTCAAGCCAGTCTGAAAGAAAGAAAAAACTCAGATTTTAAAGTAACCTACAATCAGCCGTTCTCAGCTGGGGGGAGCATGAAGTAATGTTGCCACAAGGTCTGTGTGTATAAAAAATTACCAGGGCCCTTCATAGGAGTAGGGAGTGTAGTGAAGGCAAAGACTGTTTCACCTTATAAATTAGCTTTAAGATTGTTTGATTACTAACCCTAACCCTAAGCAACAAAATTTTTCTCAAAAAAGAGTTTACAACTGAGCCAAAAAAGCCTTCACTTTGAAAATTTTCTAAGACAGAGTGTCCCCCAACCCCACTCCCCTAAAAACACACCCACCCCTTGACAGTAATGAGCCTCCACCTGCCGGTAATTATAAAATGTCACAATCAGTGCAACCTTTAGCACCCTCTACACTACTTATTTCATTTCAACCAGTCTGATTACAAATATTGTTTTCAATTTCCTGCCTACCTTTGAGCTGTTGTAAAACCTTGGACAGGTAATCTTGAAGATCCTTGTCGTCACTGACGAATAACGTCAAATCATAAAATTGCTCTCTCTTGAAAGAATCAGCTGGATAGATACCTCTTTGATACAAAATGCTAAAGCAGGACAAAAAGACCAGTATTAAATTAAGAGCTTATGAAATAATAAACAAGTGCAATAATTGCAAGCTTATCCTAGCTAAATAAGTCGATTCAGGGAGTTAGTACCGGTAATCTCTGCACTCTGACCTGTACACCTTTTTATCAGCAATCATTCAAATAAAAAGGCAATCAAAATAACTTACCCCACGCAGTTTCTGTGAGCATTCTTGATGTTTTAAGTAGATTAAAGAAGTTTTGTAGGATTCAAACAAACTATAATAAACTTACAGTATTAGCCATGTAATAATCTAGCTTACTTAAGACAATCGATATCCTCTTTTTAAATCCTAACTTAGCTATATGCAAAATTTCCACAGGTTCACTGTAAAAAACTCTAAGGAAAGCAAAACTTGAACAATACACTTGTCATTCCGTCCTCTGTGATGTCTTCAAATCAACATTTTAAACATGTCAACTGGTAAACAACAATACTTTATAAGCTTATCGATAAGAAACACGCCATAGAAACTCACTTGTTTATCCCGTAACCTGTAAATAAACGTAAAAAAAATATTTAAAGCTTCAAAAGGAGAGAATTTCTAAATCAAAACGTAACGAAAAGAAAATTACCAAAGAATTCTGTGACTAATTCAGCGCTTCCCTTCAAAGTAATCGCCTTGTTTTCTTGTCTAGTACATGCCGCCATTTTTCAAATCTAACGAGGCTTGCAAGGCAAGCTGGGAAGGACGAAGTCAAGGACTGAAACGGGAGGGAATCTGGAACTAGTTACCATCGCCATTATTACGTCATTTTCTTTATTCTGCATTCTCCCTCCAAATAAGGACTGGACAGTTTTTCGGCCGTAAAAGAGAGAGATTTTATTTTACTCTTGGAAAACGTGCTAGTGAAAGGTCATTTTTCCTGTGGATAGCCACAATTCTTCATTAATTGTAATAAAAAACTCCAGGGAAAAAGTTGTAAGAATTCTCATTTTTTCATTTGTGTTTTCAGACAAAAAATAGTCTGTTTTCGATTATTTTGTAATTCTTAAGATTACTTATTCTTTGGATCTACTGAAATTAAGCGTGGGTAACTACTTTCGCTTTATCAATTTTCAAAATTTTAAAAACTGCCGAGAAACAAATTTAAGGAAAAGACCCACAAATTTGACGCAAATGGTTCTGAATACAGCGGATGGATAAACAGAGAGGGAAAAGAAAGGGTGCTGGCCAGTTATTGAGTGTTTATTACTTTGCGCTTTTCATTCAACTAATTTATTACTGTTTTCTCGTTACCATATTCCCACCAATGGCGTAGTTTCACTTTTTGCATATAAACCCCCACACAACCCACAATTCCTCCAATCGCTCTGACGAAGGGCTAACGCTCGAAACGTCAGCTTTTTCACCCTTTACGGTGGCTAATTTACGTTTTCAAACTCAGTTGTTAACACTAAATTACCTGCTATACTCTCCCACCGACGCAGCACCACGGTTTCTTTAGAAACTAACCCCTTTGTTTATTACTAACTCTAGTTTGTTTCACTGTCTCATAATGGAAGTGTTGGACACATCATTAGCAACTAAAATATAGAGATATGTCACCACTGAAGAAATAAATATTTTATTCAAGTTTTGCCTTAAAGAAAATAAAACAAAATCAATTCCCTCTCACCTAACCTGAAAATACAGCAACTCTTCACAGGTAATTTGAACACAGTACTATTTCTATATTACAGATTAACATAAGAATCGCATTCGAGATGGTTTTACGAGGATATTATGACTGAAAGACATTTATAACATTATAGCTTCGAGTTTTTTTTTTAAGGTAAGAAAATAATCATTCATCCATCATCTAGATGATGTTAACAACAAGGCCGCCTGGATCAGTTGTATCGAGCCTTCTCATTGGCTAATGCAAGTCTCCTGATGTTGCCAAGGCAACCAGCAGCAGCCTCTTGGAGAACTTCGTCGGACGATCCAACCATTTCAAGAAGATACTAACAAAAAGACGGGGAGTAAAATAAGACCATAAATAAATACTTTGGTCTCTTCTAAATGAAATTTAAATAAAAACAACATCAACAGCATGAAATAAAAAATACCTTAACGACACCGCTGTTATGCATAGAGATGCAATTATCGGGGTCACGAGACAGCTGATGAAGCGCACGCGCGGTAGCCCTGTGTACATCCGGATTCTTTGACTTGAGGTAGTATACTAATGGAGGCACAGCTCCCGCTTGGCCAAAAGCGACTCGATTGTTTCCCCAAGTACAGCATCTAACAAGTTCAGAAAATCAACGATAAATGTTCTGTTGTCATAGTCAAAATGATATTAATGCACCAAAGTGTGAGGTGTTGTTATTTGCACTCATATCGTTCTATTAGATTTTCCACAGTCTGGGTAAATGTGAGTCACCCTCTCTACCCATACGGTATTTTTTATGGCCTCTCAAGAAAAGTCCAGTAGGCCACGTGACAGAGAACCTCGCCACCAGGTCTCCTTGACGCGTTGATCTATGACCTGAAACAACCGGCGATAGCCGCGCAGCTGCATGACTAGAAAAGAACTTTAGACTCCAATAAAGATCTTAAAATCCATCGGCACGAGTCGTTTGCCCGAAGAGGATGCTTTGCTTAATTATCAGTCTGTTTTACAAGTGAATCTCCCTCGGGTGTTAAGACAGTTCCTTCCATCTTGTTTTGATCTTGGTAATAAGTCGATAAAAATGCTGTTCTTCTTTAAAATCGTACTTACCTAGCTATCGATTCCGCTAGGTACTGACGTAAACGGTCATCAGTCTGAATTCAAAATAATGAATAAATGTTGAGATTACTATTGAAGTGAAGCATAACTGAGTTTAGCATTATAACCTAGATAAGATACAGTAAGTCTCCAGGAGCGAAACGTTCGTATGGTTAACATTTGTTGAGTTGGGAGCAATCAAGGATTGTAATGGTTTTACTTTTCTACGCTCTGTGATTGGTCCAGAAAACTCGCGCCATTCTCTCAGCCAATCAGATTCAAAACCAAAACCAATCGCCACTTCGTCACACGCGTTTTCCCGCGCTTTGAGCAGTTTGCTTACTTTGACTTAGAATACTCATTGGCCCGTTGTGCAATTTTCCTTTCCGCTGATTGGCTGCAGTGATAATTTTGGTTTTCATTTTATGACACCCAATCGAAAAGGGCTCTAAACCAGTTACATGTCTACTAATGCTAACCACTGGTCTAAAACTCCCCACGCACACCACGGTTATCATTTTTACGCTCACTATAGGATCGCTAATTCTCAAACTCGAAAGTAAATTCGATGGATAAACACGTTCAAGCAGTTTATTGCAACAGTTTCATCTCACCGTCGTCGCCAGTTTTGCAAGCATGGGTACCACACCATGATCTGTGATGACCGCAAGGTTTTCTTCATCTTTTGCTATGTTAGCAATGGCTGCGCAAACACTCGCTAAAACCTGCAAGGGTGAAATAAAAAATTAATAAAACCGTCATTTTCATGCATTCTCCGACCCAACATGCGCCAGCGCCTTGGTAAACGGAGAAACGACTTTCATGTCTCCCTATCCACCTTTTTTTCCTCGCTCACCCGCTACCTTACCACTCCCTACAAATTGAGCGTCTGAAACGCACTACCACAAGACTCGTTCCTTGTCATAACGAATTACATCGCTCTAACTTTGATCAAGTAACGATTACGTATGGAAAGGGGTATAGTGTAGGTCGACTCTAAGTAGAGCCCCTAGCCTCCCAATATCTGCGTAGCAAATTCTCCCTTCTGGATAATAAACACTTGCTTGAAAAACAGTGAAGAGAATTTGGTGTTATATCAATATGACACCATAAAGCCGATAGCTTTGTTCATTTGCATAACTTTTTTTTTGCTGAGCAATGAGCTGATATTGTTAGAAAAGTTAGATTTGATCACGTCTGGGACTTTAACCCCTAAGAGTAACTAGTATCTAATTTCTCCTCACAATATCTCCCTGAATCACACATTAAAGTCACGAGAATAAAGAAAATGATCACCAGTTAAGGAAGATATTGATTGTAAAATAAATTCTCCTTGTCAGCTCCTTGGGAAATGTATGGAAAAGAGTAAGGAGAATATGCATACTGATGTTAGGGTGTCAAGGGTTAAAGGAGTGATGTATGAAAATACCTCTCTGTCGTTGGACTTCAGCAAGCTAACAATCAGTTCCAGTCCCCCAACAAACGATCGCACCATTTCTCCAGCGTCCTAAGAGGTGAATGAACGGAGCTTACATTAAAATATGGAATCTGTAACAATGAAATAATTCGAACATATGCAGGCTGATCCTGCAGTTTTTAAAAG